CTGCACAGAATGCATTAGCAACCAACTCCTAGGTCCAGGGTAGAACTCAGTTAAACTTGCCTTGCTCACTACATAGCAACTACCTCAGTAGTTACAGGTGCTACTTAGCAATCTGAAGGTGGAAGTATTCTTCTGGGAAAAAGACACACATGTAGGACCTGTAGTGAGGCTTTCCAATTTAAAGAATGTTTACTTAGAAATCAACACAGCTTAGAAGGATTCTCAAGTGAAATGGGAAGTTCTGTTCCAATTCCCTTGCCAGTGCAAGCATGTCCAAAATTCAACAATGATACTGCATAGAAATGCTGCAAATATTATTCAGTTCTACATGTGATATTTTATATCATCTCTGGATCTGTGACTGGAAATCAGCAGCCAACAAGATTTCAGTTTTAAAAAAACATTCAAAAATACTTTACTTACTCTTCAGCTAATTAACATGCTATGACTGAGTTCATCAGAGTGAGATTATGTAGTAAAACAGCATATATTCCCTTGCTACTTCTCTGTATCAAACAGACTGTGACAGCACACTGACGCACCGAGGCACTTGCTGTGCTGATTCTGCAGTCCATTTTATGGCCCACACAATGTTAAAAGCAAAGAGCAGCATCGTGGCAAAGTACAGGTGCTCCTATTTCTCTTTCCTAGCTGAAGGAGATTGAAAAGACTAAGCATTTGCCCTCTCTCAAGCAGCTGCTTCACAGAACATCACATGTGTAAAGACAACTTAATTTTATACATTTTATAGAAGTGAATTCCTAAATAAGAAATCAAGATTTTCTTCCAAATAAGAACTAAGGATACCAAATAGGAACTAATTGAGAAGCAATTCGCAAGTGCTGTAGCGCCCTCTGCGGTTGATGTGCACATTCTGCAGCTACACCTGCAAAATGATTAACTGGAACACACTCCTTGAAACGAGCAGGAAGTCGACAGTAAAATCTCTGCATGTTGAAACTCAGAAAAAGTAGCATTTCTGTGATGTTATTTTACTTCTTTGAATCGCAGCAAAGTCATGCATTGATTTTTTAACTCTTCTCAAGGCACTGCCTGTTAAAGGATGCGGAAACATTTTGCTGCCGCTGTTCAGAATTGGTCACATTCCTCAGTGGTACTTCTGGCATTTACTTTCTTGGAAAGTCACAGAAAGTTGCAGTGCCTCCACTGATAATCTTTTCTTATGGTTATTTCTAATATGTATCCAAAATAAACTGCATTTATAAAAAACTGTCTTAACTCATTCACCAGTGGCAGAGATGTACAGTATATTGTACAGTTCAGACATCTGCAGTATGTCCTCATTCTTTGAACTAAGGAGCCAAGAACTGGACACATATTCCAGATGCAGCCTCACCAGGGTAGAGCACTCTCTTTTTAATGCCCCCCAAGATACTATTGGCCTTTCTGGCCCACAGGGCACACTTCTGGCTCATGGATGACCTGCTGTCTGCCAAGACACCCAGGTCCTTCTCTTAAGAGCTCCTCTCCAGCAGGTTAAGTCCTAACCTGCGCTGACATGTGGTTATTGCTCTTCAGGTATGAGACTCTGGATTTGTCTGTCCTACTATATATAATTATATGACAGATGATTTTGTATTTGCAACAAAAGCCAAAATTTAAGACTGATTAATGAATGGCCTTTCCCAATATACTTCAGTACAAGACGTCTGGAATTAAAATTATTTTCTTACTCACGTTTACAAATAAACTTTTATATCTGTGAGATCCTCTTTAGAAGGAAACAAACTTCATGTTATTAAACTACTGTTTGTTTTTCTGGTAATCTGAGTCTTCTGGATATGGCTCTCATGAGCCCTAGGCTTTGAATATGCAACTCTGTTGGGCCTTCCAAGAAGGAAAAGTGGCTTTAATATGTCTGGTGTTAGTCCAGCTGTAATATAGTTTTCATCTGTACAGATATACATGAAACTCAGCTAGGTTGCTATTATATAGAATATCTTCAGATTAATGAACGTGTATAATGTCCTCATTTTTATACTGGGAAGAATTCTGTGCAACAAATGCATTGTTCCAAGGGCCCACATCCAGCCACAGCCACAGGTGGATAAAAGGTGTATTTCTTAAACCTCACTAGATAGGTAAAACACAAATCACAAATGTGAAATATCCTCTGTGTCACGGACACAGATACAGAGATAATTCTGTGACATTCTTCTAAGACTGTTTTCCAATTTTTAATCAAATATTTCTAAAATATGTCATATATCTTCCTTGTGGAGTACACAAACAAATGCACATCCATTTGTACATCTATGCTTACCTGTTCTACATGCAGTCTTAGAAATCCCATTTAAATTTGATTTCTTTAAATAATTCTAAAGAACACAATCCTGACTACCAGCATGAATTATAATAAAGCCAAGTACAGAAAAATATTTTAAAATAAAGGTTATGACTTACTATGATTTTAAAAGGCAAAAAGTGTCCTTGTATACCTATATAAATCCACTGTATTATAAGTCTCTTCTAACATTACACAACCACATGACCATTAGTCATGATCTAACGTGAATGCCATTGTTCCAAAAACTTCACAGGCTGAGATAACTGGTATTACATTTGCCAGTAGAAGGAGCCAATTTTATTCCATTAACATAAATGAAAACAAAAACTAAATTCTGTTTTTTAACAGGAGCATTCTCAGTCTTTTTTTTTTTTTTCTTCTTTCTTTTTTACATTTATTAAGTCAGAAAAGATATTTTAAAATATTTTTCAATTGTAACTGTACTGCCTAAATTTGAAGGTCTCTAGAGTACTTTCTCAGTGACTCACACTTACAAAAGTTTAGGAATAAATGTTGAAAGCAAGGCTCCTCACACATTCCTTATCTTTTTGTCAATAATTAATTCCTTCAATTATTCAATTAAAATAGAAAGTAAACAGCTGTCCTAATGAATTTTGGTAGACTGCACACATGAAATATGAACTTAAATTAAAGCGCCTTACCTTGTGACATTTAAAGTCGTTACACTTGTAACAGGTCTGCTTTTTGGTCCAGGAGGAGGATGGAGAATTTTCTTCTTTACTGGATGGGACAGCCTCAGTTTTCTTAATTACATAATGGTCAGCAGAATGGCTTAGATAAGGACCAAATGTGTCTCCTTTCATGCTCTCAACTGAAAGGAAAAACAAAAGTGCCAATCTACAATATAATTGATTTCATTAAAATGTTTTTCATGAGAAAGTATGTAAAAGCACTGAACAGCAGACTATTCCATAAAATACTGTTGCTTAAACTTGCATTTGAAACTTTAAGGAAAATGTTAAGTAATTAATGAATTCATTGCTTAATACCTTTTTTTAAGTCTGGATTTTGAGGAACAGATCTTAAAAATATGACAGAAAAAGTAACTCAATAACTCACTACAGTGACCTATTCTATGCTCAAAAAAAAAGTAGAATTCCTCTGCGACAATGAGTTCACCAGTACTCCTCCACATCCAGTGCAGGTGTGGACTTTGTTATGTACAGCAGGGCTAGGACATTGTTACCAATATGCTTGGTTGTACTGAATACATCATTGGCTCTTTCTGTAACATTATACCCCCTAGTACCATAACAGTGGTCAATTTTCACTAAAAAGCAAGCCTCCTTCATCTTGAGGATTACTTCCACCAATGATTTTAGTCACTTTCAGTTAACGGTATAGGACGCTGAGTGGACAAATTTGGGATAAAATGCAGAAATTGAATTGAAGAACTACTTTACAATAAGGGTGATGGAGCACTGGATCAGGCTGCCCAGAGGGGCTGTGGAGTCTCGTTCTCTGGAGATATTCAAGACCCATCCGATGCCTCCCTGTGCAATACATCTATCGCAGGGAGCCTGCCTTAGCAGGGGGCTGCACTCAGTGACTTCTCTATGTCCCTTCTAACCCCTATGACTGTCATTCTGTGAATTTAAGAAGCCCTCCAACCACAACCCAAGACCTGCTCATAGTGCACATTTGCCATTTCTTCTTGATTCCGGCGCAAACTGTTTATAGCAAATGTTTGCTTTTCCTCAACATCACCCTGACTGAAGCTTGACAGAAGGCAGGGCAATGCCTGGACGAGAAGTCCAAGGAACGAAGGCATACGAACAGGGCGGATAGCCTGGGCCAAAGCCACATGGTATCAGAATCAGCTGGGCACAGAGCTGCCTCGGAGAGGGAGCCAGCACAGCTGACACTGAAGAAACTGCTTCGTCGGTTAGGAAAGCTGCTTACCAACGTCATGAAATATACCAACTGCTGGAAAAAATCGAGGATACGTAGGTGGTGTTAAACAAACAGCTGAAGTACCTGAGCAGAGCTGGAAGGAGGGCGAGGAGGTCAGACGAGTCCCTTTGTAAATAACTGTGTGGGCACAGGAGGGTCCGAGAGACGGGCTCGGCAGCAACTCGTGCAGCAGAAAGCACGAGATGAATAACGCCCCGCCGGAGCTGCACCTGCACCGGAGCGCCACAGCCACCAGGCAGCACTGGAAGCACGTGCAATAGCAGAGCGCTTTATACAGCCTCTGTGCTGAAACGTGGTGGCAGCACTGGGCGCACTTTGCTTACGCTGGAAGTGCAGAACGAACTGCAATCAAATTTTAATTCAATAAGGCTTTAAGCCCTCTTTGCCGCACGGCGCGCAAGCCCGCTACCACAACCTCGTGCCTCGCGCCCTCGGGAAAAGGCGGGCTCGGCGCGCGGCTCCTGACGCCCACAGGCGCGCAGCAGCCCAGCTCCACCCCGCGCCCTGCATTGGTACGGCCCGCAACAGCGACCGCCCTGCACGCCTCCTCCCTGCGGGGCGGAATGCGCCTGCGCAGAGACGATGCGGCCGGGCTCGGCCCCCGCTGCGGCGCTGACGGACGTGGTAAGCCCGCCTCCCACAGGGGGTCCCCGCGGGTGGGCAACTGCCACAGCGCCACCTCATGGCGGGGGGAGAGAGGGCCGGGTCGGAGGGCTCCCTATCTGCCCGGTTAGCGGCATGGCGAGGGTTGCCCGCCGTTTGCCTTTGCCGTTTTTCTTACGCGCGCAGCCGGCGTGGCTGCGAGGAAGGGCCATTCACCCCGCCGCTCTCGTGGGCGGCCTGTAACAGCACTCGTGCAACGGAGGATGGCTCTGGGAGGTACGTGCCAGTGTGCCTTTCGGCTCCCTGCTTATTCACTGGCCTTGCCTCCACACCGTGGCGTTGGAAGTCAAGTTTAGCCTGAGAGAAAGCATGTTGAAATAACTTAATGACTTCTTTTTTGTCCCTAGGTAACTCTGGAAGCCATGGACATGCTCTTCAGAATAAGAGGAGGCTTGGATTTGGCGTTTCAGCTAGCAACTACTGATGGTGCGTCTGTAAGGCTATCGTTGATTCTTTTACAAAATTGTTTTCTTTGGCATTTTGCTAGGTCATAGAATCATTTGAGTTGAAGGGACCCCTGAAGGCCATGTGGTCCCACTCCCTGCACTGAACAAGTACACTTACAGCTCCATCAGGTGCTCACAGCCCCTCCTGCCTGACCTTGGCTGTCTCTAGGGACAAGTTTTGTTTGTTTTTTTCCTAATAATTTAGCTTTTAAGGGCTCTGAGTGTAGAAGTCAATAGTGGCCAAATCTAAGTTAATGAGTTGAAGAAATACAACTGGGCATTGCATCTAGTAAAAGCTTGCTGGGCCCGTAACCCAAAGGTCAATGGATCAAAGCCATCCTCAGCTAGGCTCTCATTTGATGGCTAGACTAAATAATTGCAGTGGTCTTTTCCAGCCTTAATGATTCTGTGAGATACTTTTTTAATTCCTTACTACATTCTAGGCACATGCTGATCATGTAAGTAAGGAAGACAATACTGCTAATATGCAGAAGTTGCTTTGTCATATGCAGCATTGGTTCGGGTTGTGAAGAATGTGTGAAACTGTTAGGAAGTCAAATTAAGATCTAAAAGACAGAAGTCTGTACCAGTAATTAAGATTTAGGCTTGCCTAAGTGTGGCTGGTTTGGTTACGCATCTATCTTTTCCAAAATTTGGTCTGCAAATGAACTGTACTCTCTTTTTCCAAAAACTTAGTATGTTTTAGGGCAGTTGTTTGGAAAATGATCTCAAGTCGGTGATATGCAGCTCTGATTCAATCTTTCCAGGATTTACTGAAAAGATCAGATACATGCATATACAGCAGCTTTTCTATCCACAGAAGCTTGCTTGCTTGATGGGAGAATAAATCACAGTGTAGGTTGTTACTTGGAAGCCGAGGAAAACAGTATGCCTTTGTTGAGGCAGACCTGCCAAGTGAAATCTTATCTTACTTTTTGTCCTCACAGTCATTTTTCTGATTATAATAGCACTTGCACTTATGTTCATTATGAAAACATCAATTAAAGAAATGTTAGTCCAGCAGCCATCACAGAAGTGAGAGAATTTAATTTTATACTTACTGTGTTTCAGAAGCATCAGCAAAAAGTGCATTGAAATACGTTTTCAGTGATCTTGCAAATAAGCTGTCCTCAGATGTTCTTGTATTAAGAGTTTGCCACAGTTCAGTCTATGTGTGGCCCAACAATGGTATCAACACTATTCCAGAGCTGACTGATGATTCTGCTTGCAAGGAGATAAAACGATTTATACAGTAAGTATATTAAAAAAAAAAAAAACAAGTTGTGAAGGATTAGAGCAATTTCTAGAATATGCAATTTTCTGTTGATACTTCAGCTTTGATCAAGATGATGTGACCCGACGAAAGCTTGGCAAGAAAAAGGATAAAAAGCTACAAGACATGGTATGTGTCTCACCACACTCATAATTTCTATCTGAAGACCCATCACTTAAAAGTTGTTAATCTGCCCTCCCTAGCCTTATCTATGGAAAAGGACTTAGAAAAAATCTTTTAAAGTCGTTAAGGCTCAGCAGATCTATACATAGAAGTTTCAGTCTTTAACCCAGTTATTTCATTACTGAACTTCATCTCAAACTTTGTACAGTTTTCCTTTTGCCCTCTTGGAGAATGTATTGCTGGAGATACACTGCTGGTGTCTTTCTTCTGTGCAGCAGCAGGTAATCAATATTGACCTCATGTTAGAGATGACATCTTCATTAGATGCTTTGGCTCCAGTCATCGAAAGAGAAAATAAGGAGCACCACTACATTAATATGACATTGCCAGTTGATGTTGTTGTTTCTGTTTCTCCAGAAGAAACGTGGGGAAAGTAAGTATTATCCTGAACTTGTAATTTTTTTCTATTTGTTTTCCACTTTGTTTTTCTTGTAAAGGATAGCTATCATTATCATGTATCAATTTAATAAAAGAGTATGTAGTATTCATAGGCTGAAATTTGACTGTAAGCAATAGTAACTCCTGTAGACGCTTCTTAGTCTTGATCCTCATGAGCCACAATTCTTTTGCTACCTACAAAAAAAAAAAAAAAATCAGTTCATCACTGTCTGATAGATGGGATAACATAGAGCCATTGCTGAGCAAGGAACTGAAAAAATACTGTAAAGATTCTTGTCATTCTTACAAGTCACTGTGTATAAAAATGAGTACATCTGATGACTGTATTCTCAGAATTATGCTAAGGGGTAGTTGAAGGTGGGAGATGCAAAGTCTTTGTATTCTTTTTCTGTTTTTCCCATAGGATTTGTTTCTGTTTGAACACTCATTGTTCTGCTAGTTAAGTGTTGTCCCTTACAATTCACAGGGTACAAAATCTCCTGGTGAAAGCAATTCACAAGCAATTAACTGATATGGAAAGATGCATCATGAAATACATGAAGGGAACATCAATTGTGGTACCAGAGCAGTTTCATTTCATGTTACCAGGAAAAAATCACCTTGTAACAATTTCCTATCCTACAGGTATTTCAGATGATCAACTGGAAAGTTATAGAAAGGTAAAGTGTTTTCATGTAGTCAGTATACAACAAATACAAAGATAACCTAATTTTTATTTTTACTGTTGTTATCACTGAAGCAAGGGTAAAGCTTTTCATTTAGCCAGTGTAGAAGTAATACTAACACATCCTGATTTTTTAATCATACATGCAGTGTAAAATTGATCTATTAAAAATTTCATAAAATGTATCAAATCCCGTTTTTGTGATGAAACATAACTATATAGGATTTATTTTAGATTAAACCAATCTGTATCATATTTCTGATTCTCTGAGTTCCCTACTTCCAGATTACTTTGATCGTGGTTACTACTTCCAAGATGTAGCAAGTTGCCTGAAAGAATTGGGGTGTTTTTTTCCTGGTTGTTTTTTTTTGTTCAAGGGGTGTTGTTGCTTACAGTTGAGCAACCCTAGCTAGAATTTGAAAACAATCCTTTCATCTCCCTGTTCAGATGTGTAGAAGCTGTGGGGATTTTTCATTCTCTTTTAGGTAAAGTATTATTGAACCTAATGCTAATGTTCCTTACATTTGCAGAGGCCTCAGATATGGGTGATACATCTTTCCTTCTCTCTCTCTCCTGTACAGTTTCATCCACTGATTGCTGAATGTTGCTCTAACTAATGTAGTTGGGCTCAGTGTTTGGTCGTCTGCATAAAATCCTTTACCTGTAATACAGACAGCTTATGATTTTATAATTCCTTTCATTCTTAATTCCTGTGGAAAAAAGGCAGTATATCTCTTTAGATGTAGTTAAATCTTGAGCTCTTGCAACATAAAAATAGATTGAATCAGTTTGAACCATAAGCAGATCTTTAATCTGCCATATTTGGGTCTTCAATATTAGTTAAGACTGTAACTCACTGTGCACATCTTACTGCTACAGAGAAAAATACAGAATTTGTTCATGTCAGGGTGTATTTTATCATACTTGAATAAGTTATTTGTTACTTGGGATGTCTTGAATGGGTCTGCAGAGGCAAGCATTGTGTGGCAAGACCATGTGAAATGACAGGCTCTCCAAATGGAAGGTGAGCCTCCCTCTGCTTCGTTAGAGGCAAGGTCTAGCACTAAGCGTATATGCTGAATATCAACCTAATTACATTCGCTAAGCTATTTTGTTAAGATCACAATTAATAGAGACAAAACCAATGTGATGTTTCTTTTAATCCCAAGTTTCAGTTGTGCTCTTCACTTCTTGTTCTAACTGGCATGTAGGAATTGCATGAGTTGTTCAACCTGCCGTGTGACAGACCGTATTTCAAGAGAGCAAACGCTTACCATTTTCCAGATGAACCATATAAAGATGGCTATCTCAGAAATCCACATTCACATCTTAATTCACCTGGTCCTGAGTCTGGTGTGGTAAGTTTGAATCAACTTCTTAAAAATGTTTTATTTCCTTAGAAATTTGTCATCAAAAGAAGTAACTTGTTTCTATACCTTTTCTTTCTCACCTGTATGATATTATCTGACTGGGTCTCCTAAGCAAAATAGTTTCTCTGCACAAAATGGAGTTGTTTTAGCATGTCACATTCCTCCGTTCTCCCACCTGCCCAAATTGCACTGTCTTATAAAATAATGTACACCTTTTCAGAGCGTACTTCACATGTGTAGTACATATTTTAGAAGGTTCTCAGAACCAAAACAAGAAAATAAAGCTATGAATAGAGATGTTTAATAGGCAAAAGAAGAATGATCACGGGCAAATAAGAAACCTTCAGTTCTTCTAAAGACTCATAACTCCCTAACTAAAAGTACAGTCCAGGTAACAGCAGTACAGCTTCCTCTGAAAACTGATCCTACAGCGATCAGATTGATTTGTATTATCTGTCTGTGTGCAGGTTTATTTGGTGCATGGCACATACAGTTACCATCACTATATGCAAGATCGGATTGATGACAGCGGCTGGGGCTGCGCTTATCGGTCTTTGCAGACCATCTGTTCTTGGTTCAAGCAGCAAGGTTATGTTGATGCACCTATACCAACACACAAGGAAATTCAGCAGGTACACAATTCTTTTATACCTATTGACTTAATCTAGGAAAGCTTGTGAAAATTATCTTTAAATGGCAAATTGTGCAGCAACAGAAGGTGCAGTAGTGCCTTCTACAAGGATGGGAGCACGCTTGCAAAGGTATTGGTCAGGATTTAGTTGAGAAAGCAGTATGGGAAAAAGTAGCTTACCTCCTTCTAAAGGCTAGCAGAATCTCGAGAACTGTCAGCAAAATAGAGATGCTGTACCTATGGCTGCTAACTCTTAAATGACTGTGAGGAGGGGTGGGCCCAGGGTCTGCCTCAGGTTGCTCTGGTGCTGCCTGGGTTACCCGTGCCTCCTCACCTGGTGCTCAATCACTGGTTCAGGCCAGGACTCAGCAATTCCCATACACAGATTAATGTATTTTCTGTTTGATATTTTAAATTAACCTCTTAAATTGAACTATAGTACTTCATTAGTTTTAACAAGATTGATAGTAGGAGAGCTATCTCCAAATGTTTCTGTACTAATAAGTTTTATTAAAATAGTTTTCTAAGTATTTCCTTGGATTAGTGTTCTGCTAGCAGTTCTGTTTATAACGTTTTTAGTATTTTTGCCAAATGAAAGAGAACAAAGGATGCAATCTGTCATATTAAAATCAGTTTTAAAAGAGACTTCTGTCTGCAGTGACAGCAGTTCCCAGATGTTTTGCATTAATTTACTGCTTTCTTTTGCAGTTTCGCCTTTGAAAGTAGCAGGCTTCTTCTGTTACTTGAACCTTCGTTTCCTTCATTTTCTTTTTTTGAATTTGAGTATGTTCATTTCTGTTTACAGCACTGAAGAAAAAGTGTAGGCTTGGTGACAAAAAGTTGTATGCCTAGCAAAAAATACCACAGTTATTTTCAGCCTCCTACAAACAGCATTTTGTGTTACATTTATTTACTTAATATCTTAACAAAGTTTGGTTCACTGAATGAAATGGCTTCCATCATACCTACCAGGGATGTAAGCAATAAAAGAAACACTGGATTTCCCGAGCATTTCTCAGTCCATCCCCAGATGTAAAATCAGCTTATATCTGTATGTTCCTGTAGCATGTCAGACTTCTAGAAGAGGGCAGAAGCCTTGAGGGAGACTTTGTGGGCTACATATCCCAAGTGGAAAAGGCATTTCAAGTATTGCATGCAACACATAAACTTCCAAACTGAACAGAGTTTATTTTAAATGCCAAGTCTCAGTGTTATGTGGAGGGCCTCTTCCTCAGACTACTGTTTTTTGGATTCTTTTCGGAGATGCCTTGAATCCAGGCACTTCAGTCTGTGAAGTGGCTTCTCCACTGCAGACGGTACGCTCAAATATTACACAGCTCAGCATCTCAGATCGAAGTCTGCCTATGAGCCCAACTCCATTTTCTCTTCTTACTGGTACTGTTCTGTATTGGCATCCAAGTGACATTGCCAAAACTAAACCACAGTGAATGAATTCAGTAACCATCTGTTTGCTTTTGACTGGCAAGGTCATAACATTTGTATTTATATGCCTATTTCTTTCACACAAAAAACTGGTCGAATAGTCTGCTCTATGTTGATGAGTTTTGCATTACTTCTTTGTATCAACGTTGCAAAGGCCCTGGTTGATGCTGGAGACAAACCTGCAGCATTTGTTGGGTCACGGCAATGGATTGGTTCAATTGAGGTGCAGCTTGTTTTGAATCAACTCTTCGGAATAACGTCAAAAATATTATTTGTCAGGTAAGAACCCATGTATTTTCAGTAGTTAGGTAATTATTAAAGATATTTTCTGTAAACTGCTTAACTATCTACAAGCTGATGTGCAACAATTCAGCCTATTTCCCTTCCATCTGCAAACACAATTTTTGGAACAACAGGAACGCAGTCCGTCAATCATGAGGCACACACTGACAGTAAATTATTACCCCAGCCAGTGGAGGATTGAGGCAAATTGCTGGGCAGCCTGGAAGTAGTGCCCTCCACCCTAGATTTGTATGACATTAAAACAAGGGATTTATTTCCCATCTGACAATCTGACACTTTTATGTGCAATAAAGAACCCTATGAATACATTTAGGAGAAAAAGAATAGTGTTCAGTATCTACTGGAAATAAAATTACTGGATTTCTACCACTTGGACAGCAGTAAGCAGAATAACAAATTTCTGAGCGCTCTGTGATAAATAAAAATAATGAAATAGAAAATGTATGCTAACCTAGCCTGTATGAAAATTTGATTCAAAGTATTAGTCATTAGTTATATTTATTTAGACTAAATGCCACCGTGGATATTCAAAAAGAGCATGTAACCATGGTGACATATATTTTTAATGGTAGGAAAAAAGTTTGTTTCTTCAGTGTTTCCTAATGCTTTATACAGCCAATTGTAATCTTTTTGTTCGTCAGCTCATATTTGCAGATAGATATCCACCTGTTATTTATAACAGCTGTGCTAATGGCAAGTTTTTTCTTCCTGTGCGTAAGAATACAGAACATGTGCCCTTGTGAACTGCTTGGAGTTGCTCACAGTTCTGCTGCAAGGGAGCAGCAATGTTTGTCAGGACTGTGAAATGCCAGCCTCACTAGCATGCTGAGGAGAGATGTCATGCTATCCTGTGCCAATGACCAGCTCAAAAAGGCTGCATTTTTCTCTCGGACTTACTTTCAGCTGGCACCTGTAACTCTTTCTTTATGTAAATAGGGCTCCACAGCTCCTTCAGCAACAGCGGTGCCGAATCCATTATAATAAATGCACCATCCCATTTCCCAGAGTTCCAGCTTTACACTCTGTATTTAGTCCATCTCTCCAGGAACTGGTGAAGCAGACTCCTAGTTTGTGTTTTAAAAACGCTAGCGACAATATGAAGAAATATAAAGACAAGATATTAACATCTGTATGTATTTCCTTGCCTAGCTTCTGTCGCCTCTTTCAGAAGTACAGCCTTCTGAGGACATTATGAGTCTCCTTCAGAAGCATGTGAGCTCTGAATCATGGAATGTGTACACACTGTATGTGTACAGCTTACTCTTCCATGTAGATTTATTCTTTGTAGCAGAGTTGAACAGGAAAGTAGGGAAATTAAACAGGCTAAGTTCAGTGTTGCTTTGACTGGATTACTAACGATATTTCAGATACGATTTTTTAAAGGCAGCTTGGATATGAGTATTGCAACTGCTTGTGTAATTGAAGTGGAAAGCTATCTTAAGACACATCAGTATAAACACCTTTATTGGTGCCTTATTTTTATTGGGCTCTGATGAAGTTGTGTTACTTCCCCTTGCTGACACATGTTGCTAGTCTGGTGCTTTTTTTTATCTCTTGAAGGGAGCCCTTGGGGTTTACTAGCTATCCCCAGTGTGAGACAAACAGCAGAAACATGACAGAACAAGGGTACTCCAGGTGCTTCAGTGGCAGTGAGGCTTATAGTGAATTCAGTAGCCCAGCCAGAATCTTTGAAGTTGTTTAAAGAATGCTTTTTTCCACCTTGTCCCGAGAGATTTATGCAGAAAAATTCTAAACCACAGCAGCCTCTTTCTAATCAGTTACCTGTGCAGTTAATGAACGTGATGGATAATTTAAAAAACTAAGCCTTGAGAGGATGACAGATCTAACGTTCTATCTCTTACCTAGCCAGGGTTCTGAACTCGCCTTGCAGGGAAGAGAACTTGCTAATCATTTCAAGACTGAAGGAACTCCAGTTATGATTGGTGAGTACTAGAGTATCACAGAATGCCAGTCGGTGTTCAAGGCCTTCCTCTGGTGAACTTCATTTCAATTAGTACTCAGAGTACTAAAAGTACTCCATTGGTACTAGTAGTTTACAAGAGCTAGTCAAAACCCCCAGTGAATTAAATTAACGCTCTTCTCCAGGGAGCCTAGAAAACCATGCAATTTAGTCTGCCTGGTATCTTTTTCATTCAATATTTCCCTCAACAAAAATCAATCTGAATGGTGTTCTCAAAGGCTGCTTTTAAAGTCAGAACTTGAGAGAAGCTGACTTCTTTAGAAGTTCCATCTCGGTAGATGGGCAATTGATCATGCAGTTCCCCAGAATTGCCCTCCTCAGAAGAGTAGTATTTATCTGGCTTTAAGGAGAGAAGTATCATTCTTTGTCCAAATTCATCATAGGACCAGTATGCGTATTTAAATAATCTAAAATGTTGGTGTCATTGCAAATATCATTCATAAGAACGTCTTAATTTTAATGAGAGTATTTCAAGAAAACCAGTAGTAAAAAAAATGAAAAATAGTTTTATTTATTACTACTACTTTTATTTCCAACTTGTGTATTTAGACAATCTCAGTGAAAAAAAAATGAACAATTTGTTTTCCTCCTGTGTTAGGTGGAGGTGTTTTGGCTCACACAATACTAGGAGTGGCGTGGAATGAAATAACAGGGCATATAAAATATTTGATTCTAGACCCACATTACACTGGAGGAGAAGACCTGCATGTTATTTTGGAAAAGGTGAGACTTCATGTAGGTGTGTACACACACACATCTATGAATGCATATGTTATTATATAATGCATGGTCAATTAGAAATTGGCCATTCTGTAAGTTCTCCATAGAGAAGTGGGTTCCCATGGGAAGTGCAGATCCCAGTTAATCTGCATACATGTTAGCTATTGTTAGTTTCTGAAATGTAGTGGTCCTGGAGAAAATGTATTGGGTCACTAACTGTGTAGAATTATTGCAGCACAAACAAATGTTCTCTGTCAGAGTATGTCTGTCCCTCCTTTGCATTGGAAACGCCTCATTTAATGACCTCCTATTCTGTAAACTTAAAAGCTTAGCTGGACTGATTTAGTAAATCATGATCAACAGCACACCTTGAATTAAGAGCTCAGTTTGGCTCTGATCAGTTTCTAAGGAAGGCAGAAGTTCTTCAAGAGAAGAGAAATTAGAACTGTGAGAATGACAGTGTTTCAGAACAGCATTAGTCTCTGCAGCAGCAGAAAGCAGTGGGATATAGAAAGAAGAGATGCTGCTTTTATTAAGATAGATCTTAATTTAACAATGGATATGAAAGACAGAACTCATAGCAGATTTAAATTGTGTCTTTTCTTTTTCTTGGCCAGGGCTGGTGTGGTTGGAAGGGCCCGGACTTCTGGAGCAAGGATGCCTATTATAACCTGTGCCTACCTCAACGACCAAAAACTATTTAAATCCCGGTCTTATGCAAGAACATGCTTAGCCAGAGTACTAGCAGGCCTAGAAGTAACTGTCTTTTTAGTTAGCAGACTAATATTTTAAATTGATCAAAACCCAGCTGAAATAGAAATGTTACATATATAATTTAAATCAAGACATTTGTGTTTGCTTTTTTTTATGAAACCTCAAAGAATAAGAGAGTTTTCTGCTGTGAATGCTTTTTTTTTTACTAATTAGTAAGTAACTACTACTCTTTCCTTCCTTTTGGCTAAGATAACTTTGTTTATATAACAATTTTATTATGCTTAAAAGCTTTAGAAGTTAAATCTCTGATCCTGTTATTTTATGAAATTCTTTCCTGCTGAAAAAAATTGTACTCTTACCTTTCATTTTCTGTAGAGCCAGGTGGATTTCACAGTATGAGTCTATTCAAAGCCATTCATTGCGCTCACTGTTGATAATGGTATTTTAGATGAGGATTAAGGAAAAAAAATAATTCTATATGAACTGAATTTTATGAACTTTTGCTCTCATTTTCACAGGAAAAGTATGAGAGACTTAATTATTATATGCTTATTTGTTTATAGCTGTATGAATACAAACATTGTAGGAAAAAGCAAAACAGTGGTCTTCTGTTAGAAGTGAAAATAAATGAGTTTTCCTTCTCCTCAGAAGGAGACAGTGTGACAGCAGCACACATCAAGCCATTCCATTCATTGTCCAGTCAAATTCTATTGGCCCTTGGATTCCCCTTAATTTGACTTTGGGATTACAAGGCATTTCTTTTGTCAGCCAGGAGACCTGTGATATGTGTGGTATGAACAGACCTGTGGTATGAACAAACAAATGTTCTACTGTCATCAGTGCAGTAGGATACATTCGTGATACAAGTAAAACTGCCATCTTTGTTAGCTTCTCCATCTGACAATCTCTGAGAATAACATGGAAAAAAAGATGTGGGGAGCCTTCTGAGTGCCATTCTACACAATACTCATTTTTGGCAGCAGCATAATCTTCAATATGTATGTATCTGCTAACAGCTTATGCAACACCAAATTTATTTATGTAACTGTTAAAATGGTGTTGGGTTTTTTGTTGTTGTTGTTTTTAAGTTACTACAGGGGAGTTTTTTCACTCAGAAGAGGGTGGTGACACACTGAAACAGGTTGCCCTAGGAGGTTGTGGATGCCTCATCCCTGCAGGCATTCAAGGCCAGGCTGGATGTGGCTCTGGGCAGCCTGGTCTGGTGGTTGGCGACCCTGCACATAGCAGGGGGTTGAAACTAGATGATCTTTGTGGTCCTTTTCAACCCAGGCCATTCAATGATTCTGTGATTCTATGAACACACAGCATGCGGTGTGTATAACTGCAGCATGCAGGTGTACAGTGGTTTGTACCACGAGTGCGTGCTGTGTATTTACAGCCTTAGCAGCCACACTGAAGTGGAAAAAAATGCTCTGTAAATCACACATTCTCAGCAGGTTAACACTGACATGGCTAAATAGAGCTGAACTACCCAACTTCGGCACCGTCAGGCTCAAGGAGAGCGAGGCATTGTAAGGTGCCAGATTTTGCTGCCGTATGAGTTGGGATTCTTCGAGGCAAAGCTAAACACACCAGCCAGCCCCACTCCCTCCCAACGTTGGGCCCGCGAGCAACACCGCCCCGCCTTCCTCCGTAGGGCGCCCGGGGCGGGCAGTAACGGCGCCCGGGGCGGGGCGGTGCGGGCCGCCATGGAAGTGCGCAGCGAGGCTGCCTGCCTGCCGTCGGGTACGGGGTCGGGCAGGTTCCTTCGCGGAAGGCTTGGGACGGCTGCGTCTGTCCCCGTGCCCTTCCTTCGCCGTGCGCCATCGTGCAGGCACCCGCGTCATGTGTAGCACTCTGTTTTGTCTTCCTTTTGTTTTAGTTTTCCTGCTGTCCCCTTCTTCTGGGGAAAAAAACAAAACCAAAAACGTGTGCTTATTTCTGAGCAGGGGACGACAGCCATGCTGCCTCGCTGGCAAGGAGAGCAGAAGATGGAGATCCCTGGACGTGCTTTCTAAGAGGACAGCGGTACTATGAAGAGGTTGGGGTTTTCCTTTTTTAAAGTCAGATATTAAATTACTACGTTCAGTTTTAGTGGTAAATGACACCATAAAAAACAACAGATGCCTGTGCCTGTTTTTTCCCATGGAGATCACCAGATGTTCCCACTCTTGCACAGCTGCCTCCCGAGCTGAGTCTTGGCCAGCTGAGTGTCCAAACAGCACCCGCTGTGCTTTGTGTTGTGGGGCAGTGGACTTGGTTCTGCCAGCAGTGCAGGAAGGGGCATCGGTTAGCCAGGCTTGTGGTTGGCAGCGGGAGCAGATGGGCATCTTCCTCGTGTTCCATGCAGGTGCTCCATGCTTTCATTATTGCCTTTGACAAGAGTAAAAGTGGCACCAAGGAGGGCAGGCTTGTCTGTTTCTTGAGCTGGCATAGATGTCCATGTTACAAACTGTTGTCCACCCTTCAATTTTCTGCTCAAGCAGGTTTCCATTTCTGTATTTTAGAGCATACATCTGTATTGCCTAAAAATGCATGCTCTCATAGCACTGCAGATGTTAGAAGAAAACAGCACCCGATCAGAGCCCCATGATAAGCCTCACTCACAGCACTGAGTTCAGAGGAAAAGTGAGAGTACAAATGCTGCCACACTTCATTATCTGACACATCATCTGGCTGTAAGTAGGCACTGTTTTCCCCTTTCAGAGGAGTGGACTGTATGAACGTTGGGCATTTCTTCATTGTGAAGTGTCTTGCAGTTCTGCAGCTGCTCACTTCTAAGCTTTGGCAGTCTGGTGTCGTTTTACCAAACCATACAAGATATACTTGGTTTTATTTAGTATTTTTCTATGCCTACATAACAATGTTTTAGTAAGAGCACCAGTTTGTCAGTTAGCTCTTACATTGCAATTGTTTTATTGTGTACTTCTAAATACATTTTCTTCTTCAATCCATTGCAGGAGCAAATGCTCTTTGAGATTTTTTCTAACAAGTGCAAGCAGGTGGAGAAACCATATTTCATCAGGAAACCAAGTTTATTCAATAAACCTAGTGAATCCTATTATATTCTTACCCATCACAACGGCAGAACATGTGAGGTCTTTGCGGAAGGCAGAATGGGGTGAGCGAGTTGTAGGTGAGGTGATAAGACAGACTGCAGAATCCTTGGGCTTATATTGTCCTGCACATACCTTGTTTTTAGTATGTATGTTGGAGAAAAAAACAACACTGAAGACAGAAAACAAACCCATAAAGTAGTAAAGGCAAAAGACTAAATTTGAAGGGCAGAAGCAGTTGTTTGAACTGTATGCCCTTCCCCTCTCCTGGATGAGTTCCATGTCAAGACATTGTGGTCCACTGAAGTTTACCATCAAGTGGAGCTCTCTTGAGTCTGGTGCATGTTTATTCTCAGCACCTGTTTCTCCTGCATTTGCATATCGCTACTTATATTTCAGTGTTTGGTTTTTTTTGTACATATACCTGAAAACGATAAAACCTTAGATGGAAGTGCTTCCATCATTTCCCAGTGTTCTTGTAGTTGCTAACTCACTCCATTTTCTGCCACTTCAGTGGTTGCATTTTGTTTTGTTCTTTTTTGTGAGTGAAATGCTCCAGTCTGAAAATCGGCATGAGGAGATCGACTGAAGAGGTAAGCTGTACTCCTCATTTGGTGTACTGTATCTTCATCCTTCTTTCCCAGGGGAGGTATGAAGAAGCATTCGTACAATTTGAAAAAAACAAGGACACAGATTTTCAGGCACTGTATCAGCTTGGTGTAATGCATTACGATGGACTAGGCACTAATAAGGACCCTGTGAGTAATCTAGTTTTATTTTTTACTTTTCTTCTAATAGCAATTTTTAATTACTAAAAGGTTCTTTATAAACTTGATAGTTTAGGATAAATAAGTCATTGATTTAGAAATAGTTTCATAAGGTACAGATGCTCACAATCATCATCAAAGGAGGCATCTGGGCTGTAGAAATTTTCAAAACCAGGTACAATGAACGAGGCTTATTTGAAAAATACACATGGTAATTTTTGTTTTAAAGTACCACTTCTAAGACTTTGTACTCTGTATGGAAGCAATGTCGTTTGTTTAAAAATTGTTATTAATTTGTTAATATTTAACAAGCAGTGTAGATAAAAAAGGAATCTGTAAAAATAGAAATCAGACAACTGTATTTCCAGGTGTAAGGCATTGCCATATCCCAAAATTAGCTCCTTAAACCATCAAAGCACTTTAAAGACTTCTGTTGTTACCATGTTAGGCACAGAGAAAGTCATGCTCTGTGAAAATGTTAGATTTCGTGTAGAAGCACATCTGTTTGTTTGACTTGCAAACAGCCAGCATCTTTTGCTAAGTGGTGCAGCATTTCTGGTGTTCTGGAAGTAAGGCAAGAAGAGAGAAGAAGTTACAGTGTCCAAGTGGAATCATAAAATGGCTTGAGTTGGGAGGGATCCCAAGGACCAAGCTGCAGCCCACCTGCCACAGGCAGGGCCACCAACCTCCAGATCTGGTCCTAGACCAGGCTGCCCAGGGCCCCATCCAACCTGGCTTTGATCACCTCCAGTAATCTTTGAGGGTGCACTAGAAAATAAAGATTTATGTATATTATAGAATAATAGCCATTTAAAAGCAGCATTTGTTAGAATAGTTATAAGACAATTCAATTTAGACAAAAATATAATCGTTTTCAAAAAATTGCAAATGTGGAAGGTATTTAGGTAAATGAGATGTCAGAATCTCACTGATAGCCACTCTGTCCACACACACATATAAGAGAATGTGTGTGTAGAACAGTTTACACAGTCGAAATGTAATGATTTTAACACCTCAATTGTAGGAAAAGGGAGTGGAATACATGAAGAAAATACTCTACTCTGATTCCCCAGAGGCAAGACACTTAAGGTTTGCAGCTGCGTACAATCTTGGCAGAGCATATTATGAAGGATATGGTGTTAAGCATTCAACTGAAGAGGCTGAAAGGTGATTGCAGACAGTAATTCTTCTGATGAGTTGAAGACGCTGAGATACTGCTACTGAACTTTCTTTGTCTGTTTCCTTAGGTTGTGGCTTATTGCTGCAGACCATGGGAATCCAAAAGCAAGCGTGAAGGCCCAGACTACTTTAGGAATGCTTTATTCCATGCCAGATCTAAAGGATCTGAAGAAGGTAAAGCCCACTTGCTCCCTTTACAGATTTCATGAGTCCCAACTAATTTTGGATTTCACAGAAAGATTGTGGCAGTATATTTGACTCATTAAAACTGTATTCTAAGCAATCCTAGACATTGTCATTCATTTAAGCCCATACAAGGAGATGGTCAGTACCTCTCCCTTTGGACTGGCTTGACACTGCTTGCTGAGATTTCTGTTTAGTAGGAATATCAGAGAGAAAGATAGAGTGGATTAAAATTTTGGCAGCCTTAATGCCCTTCAAAAATGAAGCAGGTGTTTCTGGTTGACAGCTCTCAGTAATTGATGCAGGTTTAAAAGCCTTCTGGAGACTCTGCTTTCTTTTACATATAAGCACTTCTTACTGACTGGTTGATATAAAGGGTTTTAATGAAACGGTATGCAAGACAACCAGTTGAAGTGAATACATCATCGCATCAGAAGCTAATTAGATAATGCAAAGCATTTGTTGAGATAAACAGGAAACAACTTTGTGCCTCTTGCTTAGGCCTTTTTCTGGCACTCAGAAGCATGTGGGAACAGAAGCCTGGAATCACAGGGTGCACTTGGTGTTATGTATCTCTATGGACAAGGTATACGTCGGAACAGTAAGGCTGCTCTGAAGTGCTTGAAAGCAGCAGCAGAAAGAGGAAACATCTATGCTCAAGGCCACCTTGTGGAATATTATTACAGTAGAAGATTCTTCTCAACAGCTGCTGCCATAGCCAAAAGGTTAACTTTGATTTATTTCTCATTATTTTCATATAAGATGATGGACCTTACTTTACTACTTACCTTTACTACTTAAATGAAAGGGGTTATTAAGTTCATAAACTTGTATTAAGATCAGGAGACATTTGAGATAATGAATTGCAAGACCTCATTTTTAAGGGGGAATAGCAGACCACTGCCAAAATTAAGTCAGTAGGGTTCTCAGTTATTCAGAACAGATGAACTTTTCTTCCTGATGCTGTGAAGCAAACCAGTCTTGAATTAGTCTCAGGGAGAGCCCTGTCTTCCTGTCTCCTTGTCCACAGTCTGGGCCGGGCTCCTATTTTAAACCCCTAGAAGTGTTCTGTTCTCCATAGCCTCCATTTTCATGTCATTTCTGCCCGCTATCTTTTGCCTTGTCACTGGTTGGGAACCCACAGTAATCCCTCTGAGCAGCACAGCCTGGGACCTAGAGGTGGCTGCTGCAAGTGGTGCCAAGCCACCGCACTTTAGCTTTGCATCTTTGCATCGCTTGCTGCTTATTGGGATGCATACTGCATATGCACTTTTTGAGCCTGAACCACACAATAGTCATCATCTGCATGCAAGTGGTTTCTGTAATTACTTGACCCCTGTATATGCCACTGCATAGCAGCAGCTCTGGCAATTCAGCAGTAGCTCAGCAGCGAGTACTGTTTGCTCTGCTCATTGCTGAATGGTCTTCTCAGAGAAAGCCGCTTTGTTTTCTGCTTGTGCTGCAAATGTGCTGATGGCTGTTCAGTCTGGGCTAGCTGGTCTTTTGGAACGTGTGCCTTCCAGGCAGTTGACTTCAATTGTGGCTCACAATAGCATTATCTAACGCTTAAATCCTACAACAGGATTACAGAAAATGACAACATCGAGATGCTAGCAACGATGACTGATTGTCTCCCTGCATATGCAGCCAAAGGGGTTGCTATAGCTGCCTTCTACCTGGCTAGGTGCCTCCATCTTGGCCGAGGCACAGAGAAAGATGAAGCTGCTGCTAAAAAATACTATTCTAAGGTAAGCTGGTCAGGTGCTGGAATGGACTGCCCAGGAAGGTGGTGGAGTTACCATCCCTAGAGGTGTTCAAGGAACATTTTGGCAATACTGGCAATAGGTGAACGCTTGGACTGGATGATCGGAGAGGTCTTTTCCAACCTTGATGGTTCTATGACTCTAAAGCCTTGCAGCCTAACTTATATCTCCTGAGATTGAGTGATGCCTTGGATGTGAGTCTTTAAACTTGCTGTTTTGTTTTATTAAAGGCTCTAACTTAAATAATATTTTTAAATACTCTGCAAGAAAATGAAGAGTAATAAAATTATATTGAAAACCACTTCATAGCTTTGAAGGATACTGTCTGCCCACTTGCTTCAACAAACAAGTCATACTGTCAAACAGAAAATTCCATGGAAGTCAGCACAAAGCTTAGTAAGTTGGAAGATGGAACTCCCTAAATTATTCAAGTAATTTTATCATTTTTATTACATTTTTATTGATCGAGGAGCTACTAACACTGATACATAAGGGAAAAAACAGATCACATTTCCTAAATAAGTGCTGATGTTGAAGGAAGGTTTACCGCCTGAGAAAGAAGACTAATAATGCCTTCTGAAAACTAAATTACATTAGTGATGCCTAAAAGTAAAGGCAAGATGATGATGCTAACTGGAGGGAGCGTAGAAGCAGTCCTGCTAAGATGCTCTGTGATTTCTGCATACAGAGATCATTTGTTTCTACGAGTAAAATACTTCAGGGCCCAACTGAGTGCAGTCCAAATAAATGAAGAGTTATTTATGCAAATGTTAAGCTAGCAGCTGGCAACTTCTGTGGCTCCTTACTTATGGCAGCCACTGATAGAAAAGGCTTAGCAGAGTAGGCAAGCATTCAGCTGAATTCATAATTTAAAACATTTTAGGTTTTTTTGCTTTGAAAAGCCTTTCAGAGGATAGGTTGAGATCAGGAAGGAAACACAAGGTTGGCTGCTGTGAACACTTTCCCCAGTTGTCATAGATAAGAAGGTGTGGAAAAAGTACATCAGCGTTCCATTACTGCATGGCGTAACGTGGGTGTGATCCTTCCCCCTTGTCTTCTGCCTAGTCTAGCATTACAGGCAGAAGATTACAGCTTTCACTCACCATTCAGTAGCAACGTATATGCTACTGATAAGTAAGCATCACTAACTGCTCAGTATAAAAATAAATTATATCTGTTGATTGGTGCCATGCATCTCTACATCTACAGTCCTAGAGAAGGGACAGGCCACATAAAGGAGTCAAAGTAAAAGGGCATTTGTAAAACCGGAAGACTGGAGTTGTGGGTATGTTCAGTTTCTTTTGTACCTGAAAAATAATTGTTGTTAATCATTGTTATATTCAACTAAACTGAAAATAGTGAGGTTTCTTTTGTTTTTAATAACTGCACAGCTGCAGTTTTTGGCCTACTGTTTTTTTTACCCAGCTTTGAAACAGACGTATATGATGGAACTGAACAAAAATGACCAGTCTGTAAGCAGATTTAGGGTGCTGGTGATGGTGCCAGCCAAACCAATGGTATTAAAAAAAATGAAACTAAGGCTAACAGTTGGAGTTGAGCATGCTCATTTTCAAGTACTGAATTTTTCTGATGTGAAATACAAAAATTTACAGCCTTACTAGTGTTGTATTGGCAGTGTACAATTTTTTTTGGCTACAAGCTAGTACTTCATGTTCTTTGTTTTCAAAGGCTTGCCTTCTGGATCCTGATGTTGCTTCTGAACTTGAACTGAAAGCTAATCTTGGAAGAATTTAAGTGTTTCCTTCAGTTCTGGCAGGTATTAGACAAACTTCCTATAATAAGTCATTTTTAATATTCAATTACAGACTGTTCACTTAGTGCTTGAATTTCTAATTCATATAACTTATAAGAAATTTACTGAGATATTTAAAAAAAGCAAAAAGCTCATACATAACTGAGATACATGGCAAAGGCAGACTTTTAAAATGGTACTGAAGACAAGTTCTGATAAGGACACAGTACTGCTGTACAGCATATAAGTCAAACTGAACCAAATTAAATGAATGGTATGCTTTTTGCACTTTTAGTATTTCAGAGAAATACTTGAAAACCTTGAACCCAAACTTGCCTAGTTTTCACATACAGCCCATCCACAGCTCATGACTTTGTGCTGAATTCCATTTTTGAATCTTACCTTTGCTAGTGACATGTATACTTTCTTTTTTGTGCTTTTTTAACTCATCTACATCTACTGAACCATCCTAACATGTTTTACCCATGGACCAGAGAGATTCCAATTCAGAAGGTGGTCTCTATGTAAACTTTTTGTTAGTTTACATGCCAATTTTTACTACTAGTGAATTCTACTTACAGAAACACAGAAGAAAAGGCATTAGTCTGGAAGCATGTCTCTAGGCCACACTAGGCCCATTTTTTTCTATCCTTCTTCATAATGTGATTATGCTACCTCTGTATTAGAAACAGCTAGAAGACCTTTTGGTTAAGAGTGTTGTATATCTGAATAGCATTATACTGAATCTTTTATCACATGGTACCTCTGGGAAGTTTTACAGATGGCTGTGGTAAGCCTGCACATTTCTAAATACCTGTTTACTTGTAAAGCTTGGCATGTGCAGGAAAGCTTGCTTCTTAGGGCTGTGCTGTCACTTGAGAACTGTTCAGCTCTGTGGCAAAAGGAGATGAGATGTTAGTAAAAACACTGATTTCACTACAGCAGATGGGTTTTAGTGGTCAGTCTTGTTTTTCAAAGAGCATGGTTACACTGAATTTGAAATAAAGTAATGAATGGCAGCTGGAGCTTTTTGATGTTTAATTGTTTAGATGAGCTTTAAGACCATATTTACACATTTTTTACATAAATTAAAAAAAAAACACTGAAGATGTTTCATTTTTCTTTCCTTTGTATAAAATAAGGGAAAGTTGTGAAGGTTGTCTGAAACTGAGTAAAAGAGCCCTGAGTAATATCAGGGAAGCTATTGGAATAGTGTACTTAAATGTCTACTTACTCATTCACAGAAGCACTAATCTCTGACCCTGTGTTTAGCACAGGCATTCTGGTTGGAGATACCAGTTTAAAATGTGTATTTTGTACACAGACTCCAGTAAGTCTGTAAAACATAAATACTCCATATGAAACTAGCACTGTCAAACTCATTCAGTAGTTGTTAGTACAGCCTAATCATCAAATACTGAAATTGAATTTTGTTATTTATTGCTTACAAGTGCTTCAAACTACAGGAAATCTTTGGTAAAAACAAAATTGATAAAATTTTCACAATAGCTTTACATGTAATATTGCACAACAAGGCTTTTTCAATGCACAAGAAAAAAGGAATGCTCAAATCCTCAGCGAGGAGATTAGAACTGTACAACATTCATTAGTTTACCACTATAAGCAAAACTTCTTTTCATAAATGTTTAAAATAGTTTCTGGTTTCTTTGAGCTTATATGAACATTTATTTTTCAATCTATATTTGAAACAGAAGAGTAGTCAAATAGAACAATTTAAATAAAAATTGGCAACTATACAACATTGTTTTGTCTACCCTACTACAGCATCAGATCTTTTCAAGTATGTTTACTTCACAAAAAAAAAAAAAGAATCTCAAGAGGAAAAAGAAAAACCCTAAAAATAATCATAGTCCTCAGCCCTCTATGGAAAAGAGGAAAATAAGTTTAATGTCTATTATTGGACATAGACATTTCTCTAGTGGTCCACTTGTGCAGATTCAAACCTAAGTGGCATTAAGCTGCTCTAAATGAGCTCGTAGCTCAGGACACAGTTCAGTTAGCAGCAGTTCCAGCAAAACCTGAAAAACAGAGAAGATATGAGGTTGAATACAGATGCCAAATTAGCGTTTCTTTTAACCTTTCTGATATATTCAGAACATCACAGGTAACAGCAGCATACAAGGTCCTTCTGCTCATCTTCCATGCAACTGCTCTTCTGAAAGCCTCGGATTCTCCAAGCAATGCAGTGAGTGTCTGCTTCTTCTCAGCTATAATAAATCAGTGCGTAACTGATGGGCGGCTCGGATGTGTGGAGATTCTCATAGGCAAAAGCAGTACTGTATTTTAAACAGCTTTTTATTACTCAGAATGATTCGGATGATGAAGTGAGTATGTTTTTTCTGACTTTGCTCAAGAACAAAAAAAGTTACTTGCAGAGATTAGTACCATACTACCATTATGTGTGCAAAACCACACACCCTGGGCTTTAATTCTGAGTGGAACTCAGCAATTAAGAAAGATTCTAAAACTAAAAGCCCACTTTTCTGGTTACTCACATAGAGTAGATGCTTGTTGGCCTTTCTTTCTTGCAGTGCATTGAACACTTTCACTACACCATGGCGGGCATTTTGCTGTCCAACGAGGCTCTGCAGAGTATCTGCAACGAACATGACTTCAGCATACAGCTTCACTCCTGCTAGGCAATGTGCAACCAACACTACCACCCAAAAATACATAAGGCTGGAAAATGGAATGCTGCCCTTCATGGTAGATAGTTATAGATGCCATCTGCCAGCCTTTTAAAAACACGTAGGTAACTCAGGTCACTGGTTGGAAAGTAACCCTTCACTCTCAAGTCAGCTGAGTCAAATAATAGTTTATGCACCTTGGTGACAATATTCTTTAAGTCTTTTAATGCAATATGTAGTCATCACACAGTCATGTCTAGTGGCCAACATTATTAATCCATTCACTGAAATATACTTTCAGACACAAAGAATTCCTTTAACAGTTAAGATTTACTCTCCACCTTCCCAGAAATACTTCTCAGAAGCAAGCAGATGAGGGAAGTCTATGTCTATCATCTACATTTTGGATTAAATTACAGTGGAGAATAAATCCAGTGCTTTGTCTTTAATTTCAGGTAAATTCAGATATATCCTGAAGCATCACTTCTAATTGAAAAACAAATAAGAAAACCCAAACCTACTAGGGAAGGCTGTTCTAGGACAGCACCCCAGAAGCATGCACACTCAAGGGGAAGCTGCCTCACTTGGTGGTGATTAAAGGGCATTAAATGAAAGCGCTGCAAACCCCATTCTGCTTGGGGTGCTTCTGTCCAGGCTGCAGGTCCCTCCATATTCAATGCCCTGAAACCTCTTCTCAGAAATGCACAGCATCACACAACAATGACAACACAGAGCAAGTGGCGATGGCTGTGGTGCCACTCTTCCTGTATGTCAAGTAGTTTCAGGGAGCAGAACCATCTCCTGTTTGCTCTCTGGGATATAGCAGAGAGTACCCAGACTTCACTTAGCTTTCTTAATGAGTATTATGTACAAACTCCAGCAATACTGGACCTTCTATCCTCTGGTACTACCCAAGCTTGTGCCATTTACCAGACAAAGATGGGAGAAGCAAAGAATAAGGCCAAAATTACACTTATTTATGCAAATAAGCATGACTTACAGCTCCAAAGGAAAAATCTAAAATGCAGCAGAACAGGACCTGATTAACTGGTTTCCTTACTAGTTATTAGATATGGGATTAAGCAGAATGGAGGTGTTCTCACCTGGAATGTTTTCAAGTAGTTTTTGCTGTGCTCGCTGTTTGGTCTCTTGCCTTTGTTCGTCACTCTTGGCAGTTGGTGGTGGTGCTAGTCTTCCATTTGGCCAAAAAGCATCTCGAAACACACCAATATAGTAAACAAGCATTGCTTCACTGAACATCCAGTGTACAGTGTCACGGATTTGCCTGTAAAAAAGCATGGAAGTGAGCACATCACATCTTATTCAAATCTGTTTTTTTCCCCTACTAAAAAACAATGGAAGCAATGCTTATCTTCATGTAACTATCTCAATTTACCAATGCCATTTCCACCAGCATTACAGCACGCTGTACTGAGCAGCTGTGCTCTAAAATGGAGATCACTGAAGATAATCTGACTGAGATATACAGAAGGCTGCACTTCAGTGTAGCCTGCAAATACATATTCTACAAAGTGCTTCACAGAGCCAGGTCATTCAGAAAAACAGAGCTGCAGCTTATCTCAAATGCAAGGCTGCTTCATTGAGAAGTCTGTTAGGGTTCCAGTCTCCCGATTTCTTTCAAAAGTAAAGCCCTGTGTAGGGGAAAAAGTCCTGGGTAAATGAGCTGAAAGATAAACTACATCTGTGGCTTCTCTACTCAACCTATCTGTAAACTGAGCTATGGAAAACAAATGGGGATTATCGTATACAACAAAGTGTCCAGATTATTATTACTGTTGCTCTCAACAATTCTTCTCAGTCTTTTCCCTGTGGAACAATGTTGCAGGTTCAATTCAAGTAACAGGCACTTACTTGTTGATGGTTCTTCCAAAAGTGACTTGTACTAGTGCAATTAATGTTTTTCTCACCCACTTAAACACTGGAATGATGAAAGAGGACAGGAAATGAAGGTCATGGAATTACTAACATTACAGAATCCATAATCACATCCCCCTAAAAACCACAAACCAAAAAACCCACCCCTGCATTAAATGTTAATTAATGGTACGTGAGTCTTTTTCTTGTTTTCCCTGTACACTTTGCAATATAGTTTTTAAGTCCTGCAGATGACAGAAACACATCTGCATTATGCTTTTGCCATTGATACCATAAGCTTTAATGTTCAAGAATATCTGAAGTGCACTGAACCATGAAACTGCCCAACCACTTTTTGTGCTAGAAGAAAAGGAAGACTTTCTGTACCCTACAACTACAATGCTGTATAAGCAGCAGCAGCACTGCAATTCCAAAAGCATTCTCACTCATACAGTTAACTTTCCATTGCCAATTAAAGGAACAAATGCAAGTGCTTCCTAGTAATTAGAGTCTAATACTTCTTTCATGCTGTTCACCACCATTAGAAGAAAAGCCTATATTTGGAATGTACATCTGTTATTTTTGGAAGGGGCTGCATTTTGTAATAATTACCCTGTACCTAATTTTATAAAGTGTCAAGTGTGGCTCTACATTCAAATAGAACCAAAAATAGTTTTTATCACTCAGTTACATAAAGAAGGAAAAAATCTGCTAGGGAAAGGTGCCACAGTTACAGCATCTTTGCCATTATACAAAGCATAGAACTGAAATGCATCCATAATGCACTTGAAACGGACATTAAAACCACATTGCTTCATTGGTGGCACATCCTGCAATGGAGTTGTCTTTCCTTCCTCATAAATTGTATGTTGGAATCTGCAGCCCATATACAGATAATGTGCTGTTGTACTTCCCTATTTTTCCCAAATTCATTTTCTTTAATGAAAAAGCATATTCCCTCCCTTGCCAGTGACATTTTTACTGCAGTGTTACACTGCAATAGCACTTTTATTCTGAAGTTTTAAAGTTAGGACTATTGCAAAACAGCTCCTTGCCAGATTAGTTGGCTACAGAGGTTTCAAGAATATTTCAACTTCTTGAAATAGAAAAATGTGAATTACAAAGCACCCCAGATTTCTTGGCCAACAGGTTCCACTAGCAAATAAGCAGGTTTGCAGCTTACTTCCTCGCAGCTCAAAAATCTCCCCAATCAGCATGAAACACGGCTCAGCAATAGAGTCCCTTTTTCCATCCATCTCTTCCCCATAGTCCGACAGGTCACTGTCCTCTTCAATTTCTTCCTAAGAACAGAGGGACAATGTAGGCATGGAGTGACATTTCTTCAATACTGCTTTTTTTTTTTTTCCCCTCTTCTCATCTTCTGGTCCAGAAAACCTCCTTCATGACTTAATTTCTCTTAATTTGTTTTCGTTCTTTGCCTAACAGTGATGGACTTTCAATTGCCTATCACCCAAACCCTACCTGCACATGGGGCTGGAACTGGATGATCTTCAAGGTCCCTTCCAACCCTCTTGTTCTGTGATTTTAAAGTCCTATCCTACAGTGTTTCAGCTGTACACCAGAACATCTTACACCTTCTTCCCATCCTCCAAACCCCACCTTTGCAATGCCCAGCATTGCAAAGCAGCAATAACTCACTGTGTAAATGCAGGAAACGAAAATATTGATACTGATAATAGTACAGGAGAAAGATCCCAGGGCCACGCTGCTGTGCAAAAGGCAAGCATAACAGCATGATACATAGGCAGGAATGCTGTCCATCAGACAGTTGTGAGCATATGTAAAGGAGATTTTCATACATAGGCATATGAGAACTCAGTGGGTGCAACGCGTTTCAAAATCAGTCGTATTTCCCAGAAAAATGTGGATGATCAGGAAGGTGCAGAGCAGAACTGTGACAACTGCACAGAATGTGGTAGGGAATGCTGGCGCTGCTCACTCTGAGAAATAGGAGTAAAAGACCCAAGGAAAGTAGTAACTCCTGATAAAGAGCATGATCCTCACCCAAACATGGAGGTTTTCTCTAAAGAAAGGGACTAAGCTGCTCTCTGTTTGCTGCAGACAGGACAAGAGCTGGTTGAATACAGTGAGATTTGGGTTAGATGGTAAGAACAAGCTTATAACCAAGGAGTGACACACTGCCCTGCGTGACTGCAGAGCATCCATTGGTCACTGGAGGTTTAAATACACCACAGATAAAGACCTGACAGTAATTTTGCTGATATAGCTGGGCCTACTCAGAGCAGAAGGGCAAATCCAATGACTCCTCTGTGGTCCCCATACTATTTTTCTGCTCAAGTGAATCCTCCCCCATTTAGAAAACGCAGTAACTCTTACACTGTAAGGGTGCGTTTTGTATCTCCATTAATAGTTCATGAACCCCCAAACCTCTCTCTAGGTACTATCAATTGTACTTTTCCTCTTATTTAATTCCATTCCAAATTTAGCCCCCCATTTAAGGAACCCCAGGTATCTGAGATCTGAAATTGTTGCAATATGTAATCCTGAAAGCAGCACTCAAGAGGTTAATATTGTTGCTCCTGCACATATCTGAATAACATGAGACAAGATGTAAAGTTATAAGAGAGCATGCTCTTCAACAGAGTTCAAAATATGGAATAAAACACAACATGATCAAATAATGTAATACACACATGATCTGGCTGGTTTTTTTTTGAGGATGCTTTTCTATTAATTAGTGCACTACTAACAGCTTCGTTTTTTTGCTACTTCCACCTATTAGTCAGTATGGTGAGTATGAACTATTTTCCATCTTTAGAACAGAAGCACTTCCGCCAAAATGTAAAACAAGCATCTCAAACTTTATATTAATTCCTCTGAAATAATACAATGTATTCATTGCCCAGGTGTGAATGCAGTGCAATTTTGGAAACATTCAGGATTTTCTTATTCGTGACAGTAGCAAGACCACCTTTTTGTCTATTCACAGGCCAGCTCCATACAAGTTTCCCTAACTCCACTTAGCCTTGAGGAGGGCCATTCACTGCAGAGAACTACAGCATGTAGCAAAATAAATTGTTTCACAAAACATACAACTGGTGATGGAAGCAGTTCCCTGGATGTATCTGTAACCCCAACAACACATGACAGAGCGCCATGGAATTTTAGTTTTAGTCAGTGAGCTATTTTAGTCATTCATCTTTTCTCTGTTGTGTTTTCAAAGACGAGAGGTATTTATGCCTTAGTATCAAATATGCCAACCTGTTTGGCCACATGGGCTACCATCCGCATACACAAATTCCCTCTGTGAGCCTGTACCACCATTTGCAGACATTCTTCATCAAAACCAGCTTTGCTCCATAAATTGTTGCTGCCAAGAGAAGTCTCTTAAGAGAAAAACTCCCTAAAACATGCACGTCTAAAGCACAGAAGGCAGGAATACTAATAAAAAATAAACAATCCCACATAGACTGCATTTCATTCATTCGTGATAGGTTCCACAGTTACCTATATATATGTATATCTGTGTGTCAGAGGACAGGAAATTTATTAAAAATACCTTACAAATTCATAGGCAGCTCTTCTCTCTGAATCTTTGTTCGCTAAAGGTAAATTAAAAATGACCTTTCAAAAACGCCTTCCAATACTACCTGCCATTCAAATGTATTACAATAATGGCTCTGTCTGCTTACTCTGGCTAAGTAATTAAATCTAGGAAGATAACTCACCACCTGATGAGAAAACCAGTCACAAGGAAGTCGCTCTAAAAATGATGAGAGTGAAAAAGATGACTTTTTCCCTTGCACATCAATCACTTTGAGGTGTTCTGGAGAAGGGCTCAAGAAGGCATAAAGTGCTTCACTTTGACAGAGCCTTTCATCAGAGAGCAATTTCTGTGAAAGGAATACAGAGACAGAAACAACACATTAACTATTTCTTTGTAAGGAACAAAGTGCATCAGGCCAGCTAATGAAACTTAATGATTAAGATAGCTCAAAAGTAGAATGAGAAAAAATAATCTATGTCTGACAGATGCTTGGCTATGATGATCTTATTTTAAGAAGCTTGGCAAGCCTTTAATCCGACAACTTCATTTTTAAAAACATGAAGTTCTAATTTGTAAGAAATTAGTTTTTAGGTGTTGTAGTTAAAAATGACAATTCTAGGACTTGCTATTAATTACTTCTTAGCTAGTCAACAATCAAATTAACTTACCTCTAGAGGACTGGCTCCTATCAGCCAAACTCATCTCAACCTCATGCATTTTAGATGACTCTCGCACTTAGCAATGCCAGTCCTCCCAGTTGAGCTGTTTTGCTCTATGCTCTCCTTTTAGTAAATAGAGAGAGCATCAACTCCGAAGGCATTATTCAGTTCTTTTCTTTAGACACCTGACTTCAGTCAAACACACCTGGGAGTGCCCACCTGTCTGTGTGCAGGCACAGAAGCTTTTGAGGAATTCCACCCATGTATGCCATGAATTGATTTTCTCAAGTACCTCACAGAAGTTCTTTTAAGGCTACACATCCCTGCAAAGAATGAACACAGGGACTGCCTCAAGCCCTCAAACCAGGCTGTAATTCCAGCAGGGTTACTGCCAACCTCTTCTTGCTCACAGGACAGGAGAACCCACTCTTTAGAATGCTTCTGGTGGCAGTGGATGAGCCAGAGGAAAAAGAAATTCCCTTTTTGTAGCCACCAGACTTCTGTGTGCCAAAATGGCACTGGTCAAGTTAGCAGAAGCTGTTCTTACACTGTCTGTTGCTGCTGGCACTAGCAGCACTACTCAGAACATGGGCAACCACTGTACAACCATCAGGGAGCAAGGGATATCACAGCTCTATCAGGAGTAGGAAGGAAGACAAGAGAGAAGGACATAAAGCTTGCCACCTACGTTTTGGTAAAGGATCATGACAGCACCTAAGGAAAAAAACATGAAGATTCACAGTCACCTAGTTTATAATTTTCGCGCATTTCTTTTCAATAATGTTTTTGGACACAACAAGTTGGCAACCTGTCCAAGTTTGAAATCCTATCAGTGTAAGAATAAGTACAGTTCATACTGAGAACTCAATTCCAGTTCAGCTTCCATCTTAACTGTAAGAATCCAGATGATTGATAACATTACTCCCAAGAGAAGTGTTCATGGCAAACAGCAACATTTGACTGTCCCTCAAGTCACTGGCAAATAGGAAGGTAACTCTGAAGTTTACACACTTTTCATATTGATATCTTCCAGCTAACACAGAATGCTTGAGAATTCGAGTAATCTATCTTAAAAAGCAGCCACACATATAAAGAGTGCTGTAAAATAAAAAGCAAATGCTGTAAATGTAATTTGTGGTGTTACCTGAGACCAAATTTGTCCACAGAAGCAAAACTGATCTCCCTCTCCAAGAATACCTGTCTATTTTAAACAAATTAAATTACAAGGCTCTCCACCTGAGGCTCTAGGTGACCTAAAAACAGTAATCACACACTGCATTCAATTAAATTAATGCAATCTCAGCAGTATTAGCCTAGTTCACGGACACCCAACTCCCACAGAAGCCAAGCCACTTCTTCCACTCTGCAAGAGGCACAACTCCCCCCCCCTTGCTGACAGCCCCTCAAGCTAACTGGCCACACACCAAACTTGGGACTAAGAAGGAAAATGCTCTGCCACCACTGACCCTTTGCGCTGCAGTCAAGATGGGGCAGGAGTGTGCAGTCTCTAAAATGGACCATCTGAAGTCTTATTTGGAAAGAACAGAGAGGGGAAGATAGAAGATAAAGACCTAAATGGCACACTAAGACCCCACAAAGACAGAAAGGACAGAGACATTACTCAGAAACTAGCAGGAAGTGTTGGAGATGGATACATTCACCAAAGCACGATGGAGAACTAGGATTTTCCAAATAGTGGCTGTCAAAGTGTGGTAAAAGGAAAATAACTGTGGTCATCAAATCCACGTAGGACAGAAGAGATGAACATACAGCTGTCTTAACTTCTGGTACTTTCATCACTCTGTGGTCTGCTTTCTTACCTGCAGAAAGTTATTAAGCTGGTTCTTAGACTTCTCCATGAACTTCTGGTCTATGGATTTGAAGGGCAGCTTGCTGAGTGAAGGCAACTGAACTTTCTTTAATGATGGAAAGCACTGCAGGAGAAAGGGCAACTCACTTAACGTGCATGTGCAGAAAAACAACAGCGGTGCCAGTTCTAAATAGAAATGAGATTCTGTAGTCTCATCTGCCTTCCATATCCTGCTCAGCATGCTGAAAACACCTTTCCCTTACCCACTGTGGGCTGACACATCTAAACCTTTCTGCAACTCCCAACACCACCATTATCAATCTTCTACAAGACAGAAAAGGTAGAGCAAATTAATGGGAAATCTCCTCTGTTCGAAGAGTGTCAGTTTCAATACCTCTCCAGGAGCCAGAGAAAAAATTTACTTTTCAAAATATTGACAGGTGCAAGTGGATTATTTAGATGTTGGGTCACTTCAGTAAAACACTCATTATTAAGAAAAAAAAGCAAATAATTCCATGTACATTTGGCAGAGGCAACGTATATATGCATAATGAACCTAGAAAGGGTGAAAGCCAAAAGATTGGAGAACTGGTCATATTTTTGTGTGTTACTCAGTGTTGGCTTTTTTCCCTTCTCCATATACGACCCTGACAACTTTTAGCAATCTACATCCTCTCCCTCCCTTGAGATTCATACCTCACTGAGCTTCCGGTGTAGGTTCTGAAACTCACTGAGCTTCCTGGGAACAGTCCAGTTCTTAGTTTCAGCTCCACCGACTTCTTGTAAACTCACTAGGACAGAGTAACAGGGCACTTGTTCTCCATTCTCTTCTGAAACCTTATGGGGAAAAACAAAAAAGCCAACAAAAATACAGATAAGGTACAACTGTGAAAGTAAACAGTGGAACAATTTGTGCTGCCAGAGTGGCATGCAAATTCCCTCACCATCACTGCACAAAATATAAGTCTCTTTGTGAAGGCAATACATCAGAAAATCTATAGAAAACTCAAACTGAAAACTATACCAAAAGGTCACATGCTTGTCTTAATATATAGGCAAGTAGCAGAAAGAACACCATTCTCACCGCACCTGTTTGAGGGAAGTAACAATATATTTAAGCTTTCCAGACTTTTATTTATTTTTAAGACTACTTAATTAATCCAGATAAAAGAATAGACTTCAAAATTCATATAATTATGACACATTTTCTAAGAAGCCCATGGAAGTCTGACAATGCTTAATGCTTATGACAGGAGATTTGAAGAGCTGCTGCGATGCCAGTGCAGAAGGTACACAGTTAAAATATATCTGTGTCCTGTACAGCTGCTCAGCTGCACCAGGAGAACATTCTCTGCAATGCACTCTTCCTGTATCTGACCGTGGAAACTGGGAAACCCTATCTGACTTCTGGGTTTCACATCTCTCTAGAGAAAAAGTGCAGCAGCATCCTGACAGAACACACAGCACCAGATTCAACTTCCAAAAACATGCCTGGTTCCAAGCACAGTTATTTTGGGAATTACCTTCCTGCTTTCTCAGCCAGAACACTGCAAAAAGAATTGCTTGAATAGCAGCTCCCAGCACGTGGCTCAGAGAGAACAGTGTCTACCAGGAAGGTCCCCACCCTTTGGGTTTGTGTTTGCAAGTCTCCTGCAAATATCTCACAACAG